GTTTATCGACGATATCTCTCCTCATACTCCTCCTCCTCCTCCTCCTCCTCCTCCTCCTCCTCCTCCTCCTCCTCCTCCTCCTCCTCCTCCGTCTCCTCCTGTATGCGAACGCACCCACTGGGGCCTTGGAGTCAAAAAGTAACAGATAAAGGGAATGCAAGTCGATTGACGGGAATACAAAACAATTAGCGGGAATACGTGACAAGACAATTAACGGGAAGACAAAACAATTAACGGGACGACAAGACAATTAAAGGGCATACGAAACAATTGGCGGGAAGAACTAATGGGAGGAGGAGAATTAAGGGGAAGGGAATTAAAGAACCCGATCCCCCTAGTAACACAACGGGCGCGCTCAACCTATAGATCTTCAAATTCGTGCATCTACCGGCTTAGCGAACTGCTTTCTTGTCTCCAAACATGGATGGGCATGATTTTGATAGCTGTTGGTGGCCAAGGGACAACTGCCGACGGCGTGCCTATCGGATAATTTCTCAGCCGGTCAACGACTTCACTCGTCCTCTCCATGAGCGAGGGCCGGTGGGCGAGTGAATGGGACGAGTCCCATGGCAACAACCAACAGTGGCGGGAGACTGTGGCGACTTTGAAATACGTCGATGATTCGATTCGTGTATCCCGCCGCCTGTGCCGAGCTTGCCTTAAGGATAGCATTCAGAAAATTTACCCCGTTAAATCCCACCAGCCCTCTGGGCGTAGGTGGTCTAATGCGTTTCCTCTTCCACCCCTCCCTCTTTCCCTCCGGGGAGGGGTTCACCCCTCCCCCATACCCCCTCCCCTGGACCTGGACGGGGCGTTCCGCGAGCGGTCGGAACGCCCAAAACGGCCTCGGCGAGGAAACCAACATCAGTGGTTTTACCACGGTTTTGGCTCCATTTTGGCCTCTTCGGGGGGGGCTAATTTCAGCTCCACTCTTGTTTGATCGATCTCCTCCGAGATGGCCCCGAGAGCGCTCCCAAGGCGCCATAAGGTGCCCCGACAGAGCCCCAAGAGGTGGCCAGGAGTCCCGAAGAGGTCCCCAAGAGGCCCCTAAGAGGCTCCCAAGAGATCCCCAAGAGGCCCCAATAGACCCCTCAGAGGCACCCAAGACGCTCCAAGAGGCCTCGGCGAGAATGCCAAAATCGTTGATTTTACTACGGTTGGCCACATGTTGGCCTCCTGGGGGGGGGAGGGGGCGCTGCTTAAGATGACTCCAAGAGCGCCTGGGGTAGCCCAAGTTGACCTCCAAGATGGCTCAAGATATCCCAAGATGCTTTAAGATGGCTCCCGCGATGTTCCAAGAGGCCCCAAGATCGCTCCAAGACGGCTCCAAGGTCCAAGTGGCCAAAGAGCCCCCCCAGGAGGCCCCGACGAGGCCCGAATCCTTCCACTCCGAAGGCGCCCCCAAGGCTCCGAAGGCGCCCCCAAGGCTCCCAATGGACTACACAAGCAGCTCAAGATGACCGGCCAACCATTCCCCCGATGCTCTGAAAGGGGGCCAGAACCACCAAAGCACCCCGCTTTTCCACCTGAGTTCGTACATGGGTGACGCCTCCAGTCGTAACTACAACGCATGTGCGCGCAAGCGCGTGATATGCATCTGCATGCGGCGAACGCTTACCCCTGGGCATCATACGGGTGCCGCAAAACACGCGCACCACGCCGAACCGGCGCAAGCGCGCGCCTGGGAGTCCAATGTAAACTGCGCTCCCACTGCCATGGCTCCTGGACGTCACATGGCTGTCATTGAACATCGGCGCATGCGCGCGCTAGCTTGGACGCGCGCACGCCTTAATAAGCTCCCGTGCTTGGGTCCGTGTGACGCGGAGGTGCAGGTCAGGAAGGACCTGGAACGCGTTGACCTCAGCGCAAGCACCCCTGCGCGAGTGATGCCACCTTCCCTGTGCGGGCTGGTGCACGTCACGAACTACTTTCCTTGTGCGCGTTCTTGCTCGCCATAAGGTTGCCTCGAGCTGCAGCGACGAGCGCGCGCAGCAGCTTTGAACAGCTGCGCCGAATGACTACGGAGGGGGGAAGGGTTGCAGGGCTCCTCGGCTGGCTGCTGCAGGCGAAGCCCAGAGCCCAGACGGCACAGTGGCATAGTTTTCACCGACCCACGAATCGTCCCGCCGCTCCCATATGCGCGCGCCGACCCAACATGTGCCTGCACTCTTCCGACCGCAAGTTCTTTCAGGGTTTGGCCCGTGCTTGGTGGGCCTGGGATTGTCTTTGCCCACCAAATTCCTCCTCGTCCCCTCCTCTTCCATAAAAAAGGGGGGGCGCACTGGGGAGGAGATCGTGTTTTCGCAGGGCTGGTTGGCGCTCGTGCTGCCCAACAGGTCCCTGTGCGGATACCAAGGAAGATGAGCGCACGCAAGCGCTTTCTGTATGGACGTGTTCCCGAATATTGTCATGAAGGCGCTCTGGGGTTGCCATGCTAGGAAAACCGTGTTCTTGCAGAGTTTGCGCCCATGCGCAAGCCCCTGGGCGCCACAGGGTTGCCCGCTAATCTCGTCTGTGCGGAAGCGATTGCTTCCCATGTGAAGGGCCACGAGCTCGCAGTGGCACACCACGCTAGCACCAAACGCGCGTGGCCGGGATGATCCCAATTCGCTGCCTGCGCGTCCCGCCCGTTGCCCGAACGGCACGTGCACCCGCTTCGGCTCGCATGGGCCCGCTGATTCACAACAAAACAACCCAGGGTAACGGATGCCAGGAAAGACGCCCTTTACAAACACAGCGCCCCTGGTAAAGGAACTGGTGCCCCAATGCCTCCCAAGACAACCGCATGCGGAGGGCTCCAAGGGCCCCAGGAGGGCTCAAATCGCGGGCGCAGAACGGGCGAGAGCCCCCCAAGAGCCACCCAAGAGCGCAAATCAAAGCGCACCAAGTCCCATGTTGACCCCAAGACGACAACCCAAGATGCTGCCACATCGGCTTCAGGATGGCCCAGGACGGTCCAAGCTACCCCTAAGTTGGACCAATACAGCCACCATGAGGCCCCAACATCATACCAAAACCGACGGCGCTGATTTAAGGATATAGGCTTTCTAAACTTTCCCTTCCGATGTTTTCCTGGGGCCTCAAGATGGCTCCATTACCGCGCCAAGCGAAACCCAGAAAGGCCCAAAGCGGGCCCAGGAGCGGGGGCCAACGAGTGGTAGGCCCTAGTTTGGCCCTGGAGCGGCCCCACGAGACCTCAGGACTGTCCCAAGGTGGCCCTGATGGTCCAAAGCAACCCCTGAGAGGCGACCAAAAGGCCCAACGGAAAAAACGGCCCCGAAACATCCCCAAGAGAACCACAAGGTGGCCCAACATTGTCCAAGACCACCCCCACGAGGCCACTCGGACATCAAACGCAAGTTTTCCGATTGCGCGCTGCGTTCCTGCCCGACTGGCCCGCAATGGCCCGAGCCCCAAGCGCCGCCGGTTCGTGTCCATTTCCTCCCTTCATCTGTCTCCGTCCACTCTTTCTCCAGCCGCCCCGGCGCGACACTGGGCAGAGCGCTGCGCGGAGCCTCCGCAACAAGCGCTGGTCGCCCAGAAGGAGTCCAGGCGACGCGCGCGGGTCGTCCGCGGCACGGAGCAAGACAACAAGTGGCGGGTGGCAGCAGACGCGGCGCTGGACAGAGCCCGTGGGAGTTGGGCAACTCCTGGAGGCAGAGCGCAGAGGGGTCCCCGCGAAGCGCGCTGGTCGCCCGGAGAGGATTCGAGCGGCGCGCGCGGGTCGTCCGCGGCGCGAAGCCAAAGAGCCGGACAGTCGACAGAAGGTGAACCTTGGGCGGGCCACGATGCAGCCACGAAGCGCGTGAGTGGTTTTTGCAAATGGATCGGGAGCCAAATGCGAAGCCTGCCGCTGGGGCCCTTGGTGGAAATTCCTGTGGGGCCACGTGACGTGTGAAGGTTGCGCGGGAAGGGACGTGCGGTGGGCGGGGAGGCGCACGGACACTGCCACCCGGGGGCTTCGGTGGAACCCCTAGGGGGCCACGCGTCGTGCGAGAGGTGCGCCGAAATGGGCAATGCGGTGGGCAGGGACATCGTGTGGACTCTGCCACTGGAGCGTTCGGCGGAGACTCCCAAGAACCTGCGAAACGCGTGAGGGGTGCGCCGAAATAGACATGCAATGTGCGGGGAGCCACTTGTGGAGCCTGTCGCTGGGGCTTTCGGTGGAGCTGCCTATGGGGCCACGAAGCGCGTGAGGGGTGCGCAGGAATGAACATGCGGTGAGCGGGGAGCCGCATGTGGACCCTGCCAGTGGGCCTTGGGTGAAGCTGCCTGTGGGGCTGCGGGCCGTGTGAGGGGTGCTCCGAAATGGCGGGGAGCCGCATGTGGACCCTGCCACTGGGGCCTTCGGTGGAGCTCCTCATACGGCCACGACACGCGTGAGGGGGGTGCCGAAATCGGTGGGGTGGCCGCGTGTGGACATGGCCACTGAGGCCTTTGGTGAAGCTCATTATGGGGCCACGAAGAGTGCAAAGGGTGCTGAAATTGTCATGCGGAAAGCAGAGGCAAGCCTAGGAGGAGGGAGGAGATGAGAGTAGTAGGAGTAGTAGTAGTAGTAGTAGTAGTAGTAGTAGTAGTAGTAGTAGTAGTAGTAGTAGTCGTAGTAGTAGTAGTAGTAGTAGTAGTAGTAGTAGTAGTAGTAGTAGTAGTAGTAGTAGTAGTAGTAGTCGTAGTAGTAGTAGTAGTAGTAGTAGTAGTAGTAGTAGTAGTAGTAGTAGTAGTAGTAGTAGTAGTAGTAGTAGTAGTAGTAGTAGAGTAGTAGTAGTAGTAGTAGTAGTAGTAGTAGTAGTAGTAGTAGTAGTAGTAGTAGTAGTAGTAGTAGTAGTAGTAGTAGTAGTAGTAGTAGTAGTAGTAGTAGTAGTAGTAGTAGTAGTAGTAGTAGTCGTCGTAGTAGTCGTAGTCGTAGTAGTAGTAGTAGTAGTAGGAGGAGGAGAAGGAGGAGGAGGATGAGGAAGAGGAGGAGGAGGAGGAGGATGAGAAGGAGAAGGAAGAGGAGGAGGAGGAGGAGGAGGAGAAGGAGGAGGAGAAACGCGGGAAGCTGCTTCATCGAAACAAGGACCCAACACCACAGGATGGTGGGGGAAAGCATAGAAGCGCACAGAGACCGCGGAGAGCCTCTCAGGTCTCCGCCAAGATGGCCGACACCGTACGAAGCGGCTCAGCATAGCATGAGTAAACTGCTCTCTCGTGTTTCTGGCTACTGCCTTCTCGTGCTGTCGGCCTTCGATGCCGAAGCTTGAGTGGGGGCGTGCTTCGTTGAGTGCTGCCCTTAAGCAACCCGGCGTCTGTTCTGCTCCATCGCCACGAGCACACAGGCAGACGGCGGAGGTGATGCATTCATTCTGCGCCAGCAGAATGCGCGAAACGGGTGACTTCGGCGGGCCCCGTGCGGGCCCTGGCTCGTGTTCAACAAAGAGGGTCGATGATGAAGATGATGTCGGCGGCGAGTGAGTGGAGGAAGTGGAAGGGGCGAGCCTTCTCGGCAGGCTTCTGAGAAGTTGTCTGAGCCTTCCCCGGAGGCACGAAACACTTCTCAGAAGGCCAGAGGCCTTCTGAGAAGCCCCGCCGCCTTCTGAGAAGGCCTTCTCCTTCTCATTGGCCCCCCCTCGCTCGCCGCCGATGGTGGAAAACTGACGACCTGTGAGGTTGCATGCGTCGATGCGTGCTGCGAGCGGCCTCGCGCATTCCGCAGGGCATCCGCCCCTCCCTTTTCGTGGGGCGCGCGAATGGCAAGAGCGAGATGTGCTCCCAGGGCCACGAAGGAGGCAGTGGATGAGGACGAGAAGAGAGCCCTGGCCACGACGCGAAAGATACGAGGTGGCGCACGTCACGAGCCCCTGCGCAGCCCCCTCGGACAGTCGCCACCCGCGGTGCTGGGATGTGCTGGGCTGGCGCCGTCCGCGGGCAGCTGAACCACAACAGCGCAGTGAGGCTTCACAGCAGCGGTGTGAAGAGCAATGCACGGGCAATCAACCACCAATGACAGGGAAACAGTGCGAGTACAGACGAAAAACAGGAGACGGATACGGAGAACTTAAATGAGGAAGGCGCGGATACGAGAGATCATCATCAGGAGTCAGGGGGGAACCACAAGAGAATGCGGGCAAACAAAAGGCTCATACATCGCACTTGTCCGACCCGCTTCTGGGGCTGCCGAGTGATGACGAGTCTGTGAGGATGACGTCATGCAATTCTTCAATCATGCGCATCGCTTCCCTTACCTGGGCGGCATACTTTCAGTGCGTAGACCGTCTGATGCTCGCACCGCACTTTCTGACGATGTTGATCACGCAGGAACTGCTGATGTCTCCGATATTAGGACCAAAGGTGCTTCCATTCATACGACTGGCATGTACGACTGGCATGGACTCTGCGCGTGCTGCTACTGCTACCAGCGTAACAGCTTCTGCTACGCATGACTTGGAGTGGTGAGTTTCATGGTTGCACTGCCTCACCTACTTACGCAGAAACCTCTCAAACGACTACCCGACTTAGGACTACGCCCGGCGACACATTCCACGACGGTGAGTCCCTCCTCTGCATCGGGTACAACGCCTGACACCATCCTTCCTATAGTGTGAGGCGGAGGGAGAACGGAGTGTAGGTCTAACCACCAGAAAAAAAACAAAAAAAAAAACCGCCTGCAACACGTCGACTACAGTCGGGGCGTTGACCTAAGGAACCCCACATAAGGAACGAGGCCCCTTTTTCCCATACATTGAACTTCGATATCCCACGGAAGACCGCAGGACAACCTGAGGCAAACTGTTAAAACATCAAGGACCACCGAGCCCCTCCCCAACGAAAAGGATTCCTTCCTCAGCGCCCCGACTGTAGGCGGGTCGCCAACGCCTTTAGGCCACTGCGAACGGCCACGGCAGCACGAACCCCAACCATCATGTGATATTGGGCCCTCGTTTTAAACACGCAGCGCCCCGCGTCACCCCTCCTCCCTCCGTCCCTCCTCCCATCCCTGCCTCAAGCCCTCCGCGTGTTTCTGCTCCGGCACGCCCGTGACACGCTTCGTGGTCCCACGGTGTGCTCCACGCAGGGCTCCCGCGGCGACGCTCGCACACGGCCCCGCGGCACATTTCTGAACACCCCTCACACGCTTCGCTGCCCCGCAGGGCGCTCCACCGAAGGCCCTAGTATGCCCCAGTGGCGACGTTCGCATGCGACCCCGCTGCACATTTCGGCACACCCCTCGCAGCATTCGTGCCCCTGCAGGGGGCTTCCCCGAGGCCTCGCCGCCCATTTCGGCACCACTCGCGCGCTTCGTGGCCGCATCAGGAGCTCGTCCTCCAGCGGCGACTTTCGCATGCGTCCCCGCCGCACATCTAGGCACACCCGTTGGGAACTCCACCCAAGGCCACGAAGGCGACGTTCGCATGCGCCCCCACCGTCCATTCCGGCACCCAATCACACGCTCCGTGCCCATTGGGAGCTCCACCTGACGCTCCAGTGGCGACGTTCGCACGGGTCCGCGCTGCCCAGTTCGGCACACCCCACGCACGCTTCGTGGCCCTCTAGAAAGCTTCACCGAAAGCACCACACGCATGCGTCCCCGCCGCCGCTTTGGGCACACCCCTCTCACGCTTCGTGGCCCCATGAGGGTTCCACCCAAGGCTCTAATGTTGACGTTTGCCTGCGCCCCCGCCACGCATGTCGGCATATCCCTCACACGGCTCGTGGCCCCAAAAGGAGCTTCCCCTACGGCTGCAGTGGCGACGTTCGTATGCGCCCCCGCCGCACATTTCGGCACACCCCTCACACACTTCCTGGCTCCACAGGGAACTCCACTAAAAGCCCCAGCGGCGACGTTCGCATGCGTCACCGCCGACAGAACGGCACACTCCTCACATGTTTCGTGGCTCCACCAGGAGCCACATACCTTGCTGCACTCACACTTTCAGATGGTTGGGCCTTTCTCCAGGACAGCTGCGATTGGTTGTCATACCTGCCTACACGTACACATAAGAACAGACATAACGCAAGCAGAACGCACCGTGGCTCGGGCACGGGCTCGGGACCCGTCGAGATAGCCGAGGATGTCGAGTTAGCCGATGATGCCAAGGAAGAAAGTGAATGACGAACCCCAAAAAATGACAAAGGAACAGCACACCTAAAATTGTGAAATCGCAGGGGGGGGATTCGCCCCCGAACCCACGCTAGACAAGGCTGCCCAGAAGCCCCAAAGGAGCCCTCTGGGAGTCTGAAGGACAACTGCCGATGAACAAGCTAAAGCGTTTCCCCCGCCCTCACGTGGAGTGGGGCTTTTGTGGGCCCCGGAAACGGCAGGGCCGTTTTTTCACCGTTTCCAAAAACATGTCCCTTGAAAATGGAAGCGGCAAAAAAACGGCGACCGGAAACGGCAAAAAAACGGCTCCGGACTGGAACCAGAGCCGGAACCGGTCAAACAACGGCGACGGGACCGGTAAAAAAACGGCGTCGGAACCGGCAACAAAAAAAGCGGCAAAACGGAACCGGTAACAAAACGGCCCTGGCGTTTCCAGGGCCCACTGAGAGTGGGGCCCTCCCTTTCCTGCACTGCGCGACTCGCCGAGGCTTGGAGTTTGGAGGCTCGTCCATGCTGGCCCCTTTTGAGGTGTGTTCCTCTCCTTCTCCAAGGTCGCATCGTCCCTCGTGCTGCGACTGCTCTTCCACCTCCTCTTCACACTGCCATCCCCCTTTCCCAAACTCTGGTATGAGAGGCGGGCTTGTCTCCAGCACGACAGAGGTTTCGAAACAAGACGGCGAGACAGAGGGCGACATATCAGAAACGCCCATCCAGTGCAATCCAAGAAAATCCATGGATGCCGTGTGATTGGGAATCCTGCACGTGATAGCGTAGTGCAAGATCAGTCAACATCGAATCGGGATATCGGACTGCGTCGAATCGTGTGTCGGATCTGACCGCGCCAGCACTGAATCGACATCGAATCGGATCGGCCGCACCAAGATGCGCAACAGCGCCGTGCAAGCAAGCATCGGGCCACATCGGTGCGTCGGAGTTCCGTCATCGAATCAGATCGGAGCGACCAAAATTGATATCACACCGGAACGACCGGAACCACATCGGACCTGATGGGCCCCTTACGTGCTCTGAGCCACGAAAAAAAAACCTCGTAGCGAAGGATGTGCAAGTCTACGCTGGTCGCGAACCCCTTGATGCCGAGGCAGCACCGTACGACGTGGCCTACGTCCAGCTCCCTGTCTCCAATGGTGTCGGCAACCATGTTGAAGAAAGTCCTGGCCTCCTTGATGCAGGATCAGTCAGCATCGAATCGCGAACTCGGATCGAATCTAAATGTGCATCGGAGCGGAGAACACCGGCAAGGAATACGAATCAAAACGGATCGGCCGCGCCAAGATTCCCAGCAGCGCCATGCGAACGTTGGGCCACATCATCGGATCGGCCGATAACCAGATTCGAATCGGATCGGGCTGGCAGGAAATCGGTATCGAATCGGATCAAGCTCTGCCTTGATGTCGATGCCGCGCGTCGCGAGAAAGTCTTTGAACTCTGCCTTCGCGATGCACATCTCGAACTCTTGCTGGCTTATAGTCTGGGAGCCATCCGCGTCCGCCTGGGAGGTCATTAAGAAGGGCAAAGAAGGATGAGGAGGAGGAGGAGGACGAGGAGGAGTAGGACGAAGGTGAGGACGACGAGGCGAGCCTTGTTGAACAACGACATCAACTCTTTAGAGTCGGCGGCTTGCTTCCGCCTCGTCTCGAGGATCTGGTTGTTCGTGTCTGGCGCGGCCATTTTGACACCCTTCTCCACGAAGATGCTCATGATGATGTTCAGGATTGAGAAGAGGAACACAAATATGAACACCAAGTAAAATGCACACGTCACGTCCCCTACGGGCTGCAACACGTCGTAAACTCTCTTCCAGTCCTTGCATGGCATCCGCAGCACAAAACACCAACCTTCCCGCGCGAGCTCTCGGGGCCGGCGCGGGACCACCCCTCCCTCGCGCGCCCGCAGCGCGCCGGGAGCGGCGCCAAGAGGCGCCGCTGTGTTGGGGGCAGCGGCGACCAAAGAATTTGGCGGCGAGCAGAGGGGGGTAGGGGGAGGGGGGAAGGCTTCTTAGAAGGATGCTGCTTCTTAGAAGGCGCCGGCCTTACATCTACAGAGAAGGCCCGCGCCTTCTAAGAAGCAGGGGTGCTTCTAAGAAGCCTTCCCCCCTCCCCCTACCCCCCTCTGCGCGCCGCCAAAGAATCCCGAGCGGACCTCGGAACACTCGTGCAGTGTTCTTGCTCCACTGGTGGAAGTTTTCTCAATTCTACGGGGAAAACAAACCTACCTCGCTTTTGACCACCCTCGCTTCCAAGAGATACCAAACGATGCCAAACGACGGCCTGTACTGGTCAGGCCGCTTGACGAGGAGGCGCGTGGTATGACTTGGTTTTGCCTGGAAGCGAAAGCGGGGGAGGTAATTCACGCTCTGAAATTCGGCGCTCCGACACTGGTCGGACGGGGGGGGGGGAGGGGGGACGTCTGGCTCCGGACCTCTGCTCAGCGCAGCTGTTTGCAACAGTGCGTCCGATGGGGGGGGAGACTCCGCCTGCTTGAAACGGGCGCCAAAAGCAGCCAAGATCTATTCCAGGGGGGGGGAGGGGGTGCGAGGGCCCGCGCCGATCAGCAAAACAATGAACAAGAAACCGATCAGCATGCGGTTTTCTTGCTCCACCGAGTCCTCCCCGCCAGTCACAGACATAAACAGGGTCAAGATAGTCGTCTGCACGTTGCCGAAAAATAGCCGGATTAGCGGGTAGTCTGCCAGCACGACCGTCGGCGGACCATCCTCCTTCATGTACCTGGTCGCCTCCTGCGTAAAGAAGACCGCGAAGATAAACATGACAAATACGATCATCACTATGCACCAGAATAGGGAAACTATCGATGCCAGGACGCAGTTGATCATCATGCGCAGGTCGGTGAAGAACTGGAGGACGCGCACGACCCTAAGGACCTTGATTACCTTCAGCACACGGAAGACGCGGGTGTACCTGGCGGCCTCCCGAATAGCCTCAGAACAGACGGGGTCGGATCATCGCACCGCATCGCAGATACCTCGGCGATACCTCGGCGACGCCAGGATGGATGACATCGGGCTCCGGAGCGCCGATGCGTCGGCGATGCGGCGTGTTCCGTTTGGGCGGCGATGACCCTATCTGCTCTGGTTGCGCTTGGGCGGCCCGGAGTACCCCACGTTGCCCCCCATGCTTCCGAGCAGGTCCAGCATCGTAACGAACACCAAGAAGCTGTCGAACCAGTTCCAAGACGCCTCGTCCCCAATGAAAAAAAAGTAGCGGTGGGTGTAAATCCTCAGGGTCAGCTCTCCAGTGTAGAAAATGCCAAAGAACAGGTCCACAGGGAACGAAATCGGCAACGCGTCCTTGTCAAGGTTCGCTATCTGGTAGTTCGTGTCGACCAGGACGTAGAACGTGTTGAGAAGAATGACGCTCTGGCACACAAAACTGAACTGCACGCTCCTGACAAAACTGTGAATTAGCCCTGTTCTCGCTGGCTCCTTTAGGTGTCGAATGGGTTCAATACTGACGCCCCTATTCCAAAAGGGCCTCTTCAAGGGCGCGCTCTGAACAGGATCTCGAAGCGAAAGGGCGACCGTGGCGACGAGGACCCCCCAGGAGGCCCCGAGAGGGCAAACACGGCGGCACGCTATCGGCATCAGCACAGGGACGCTGGGACATTGGCTCAAGGCTCAAGGGCGGGCTCAAGGACGTCCCAAGTTGGCCAGGCTGCCCTCACACTTTCTGTGTAACTCTATCGTTCACATAGCTGATTCCGACGATTGTGAACGTTCCTGGCATGTGGTTCATACCAATTTTGATCCTGTGCTTCTTGCTCTCTGGTATCGCCCGCCTGACTCCCCGGGGGCGATCGCTTCTATACAATCGTTTGGACACGAATGGCATCAACACCACGGCCTTGCCATAGGCACTTTGGTTATTGCTGACATTAACGTTCATCATAAGCCTTGGCTTCTGCTTTCACACGGTAGCTCCCGGGAAGGCAAAGAGTTGTTCAAAGTATGCGGCAACATTGGCCTGTTGGAAAAGGTAGGGAAGCCAACTCGCGGCAAACACCTTCTTGACCTCGTTTTTTCAGACCTTCCTTCGGGAGTCGTGTGCAAAGTACTTCCTCCAATCGCGGACCACAACATTGTACACGTGACGATCTACATTCACGTAGCACGCACTGCACCGACTGTCCGGGAACACTGGGTGTTCAAGCAAGCGGATTGGCAAAGTCTCCGCACGGTTCTCCGAGACGTTGACTGGCGAAATCTCCTCTCGGACTGCGACCCGTCCTCCGCGGCGGAGAAGTTTGCCGCCGTCCTTTTGCGCACTGCCAAAGCAAACAAAATCCAAAGTTCACCACGTGTATGAGGAAGTCCACGCACCCGTGGCTCAATGAACGTTGTTTCAAGCTGATAGAAGAGAAAGTCCGCGCTCATGGCACGCCGGCGTACGAAGAACGGTGAAAGGCTTGCTCTGCGGGTTTGCTGCACGAGAATCAATAGCACGGCACTCGCACTCGCCAACGCATTTTGGAGATGCGCCCTTCTTGCAGAACATGGTGGTCTTTATGCGATTTCTTGATGCTCCGGGCGGGCAACTCCCATGTGTCCATTCCTCCGTTGTTGTCTGCATGTGGCGCTTGGGCCTTGGAGCCGAAGGACAAAGCTGACCTCTTCGCAACGACCTTTAGAGAGAAGTTCGGCCTCCCAGACGTTCAGATAAACGATTTCTCGGATATCCCCGCACTGCCAGAGTATGCGTCGACGGCGTGTTCTCGGACACCTTCGTGCTGGAAGATATGGCATTCCAGGGCACGGTCCTTGGTCCGCCTTTCTGGAATGTATTTTACGCGGGTGCCAGTCAGTCGATCAAGAACGCCGGTTTCGAGGATTGCGTTTTTGCGGACGATTTGAATTGCCGGAAGGTCTTCTCGGGTACATCAAACAATGAAGATATTCTTCAATCGTGCCACACATGTCAATCATCGCTTCACGCATGGGGGGCTGCAAACCAAGTGATCTTCGAGCCCGAGAAAGAAAGCGCGCACATCTTAGACAAGCTCCAGCCGCACGGGGAGAATTTAAAGATATGAGGTGTTGTGTTCGATCCGAAACTGTCGATGTTTTACGCTGCCAAGAGGCTGTCCACACAAGTATCATGGAGGTTGAAGGCGTTGCTCCGGACAGGACGATTCTACACCACCCGGGACATGGTCCGCCTGTACAAGTACCATGTCTTGTCCTTCGTCGAGGGAGCAACCAGCGCGATCTTTCATGCCACAGACACTGTCTTGAAGTGAAGATGATCGACGATATCCAGAGCGAGTTTCTAGATCACGTGCCCTTGACAGATGAGGCAGCTTTCTGCGAGCATAATTTGGCTCCTCTGAGTATGAGGCGTGACATTTCTATACTCGGCCTTCTCTTTCAGATTTCGCGTGGCAATGCTCCTCCCGTTCTCTCCTCCTTGTTCCCCCTTGCCACCGGGCATCTCGAGCGGTACAGTTTCAACGCAGACTGGCGCCTCCACAGCAAAGCCCTGAAGGACCCCATTGAACCCGGCCACCACCCAATGCTTCAGCGGTCGATTTTCGGCATGGTTCGTGTCTTTAATCATCTTCCGCAGCATACAATCGATTGCCGCTCCGTCAAGTCTTGTCAGAGGGCGCTTCAATTGGAAGCCACAGATGCTGCATCTTCTCGCGCCAGCGCGTGGCCGTTCATGTATTCGGCACGCAGCCGCGCCTAACGGCACGTGTATGGTGGTTCGTTTCGAGGGTATGTTCGTAGAAAAAAGGGGCCCCGAGAGGGCAAACACGGCGGCACGGTATCGGCATCAGCACAGGGCCGCTGGAACAAACAACATATAATCTCCATGAAAGTAGCATGGCTGGGCCTGGACAAAAACTGCACACGCCGAAGCGAAGCCGAGGCCTTGTGGGCTAGGCCGCCAGGGCTGGATACTAATGGAGGATTCTGGAAACCCTGAACTCAAAAATGTTGCCATCCCTTGGAGGGCAGCTTTTTACGTCCCGCCGCTTCCCGCCGAGGAAGAGATGCCAACTCACTCGATCCTCGAAAGCGAGGCTCTGTCTGGAAAGCCCCACATGCAGGGGAACTGGCCAAGGTTGGAAAGCGAGGGCGGGCTGGTCTTTGCCGCCCTGCCCTGCGTCCCTTCACGACAGCAACATGCGGTAAGATCGGAGGTCGGTGGGTGAAATCGCAGTGGAACGGAGACCCCCAACTGGGAAATCGTTTCGTTTTGTTCGTGTCGCGCGTGCGGGCGAGGCCCCACGGTGTCCCGTGGTGTCCCGTGGGCGCGCGAGAGGAATGAACCCGCCGTTGCTAGGGCGAAAACAAGACAAATGATTCTCCCACGCCCGCCCGCCCGTCCGGCGGTGGCTCGCGGTGGCTCGCGGTGTCCCGCGGTGTCCCGTGGTGTCCCGTGGTGTCCCGTGGGCGCGCGAGAGGAATGAACCCGCCGTTGCTAGGGCGAAGTCGAGACAAATGATTCTCCCCTGCCCGCCCGACCGTCCGGCGGTGGCTCGCGGTGGCTCGCGGTGTCCCGCGGTGTCCCGCGGTGTCCCGTGGTGTCCCGTGGGCGCGCGAGAGGAATGAACCCGCCGTTGCTAGGGCGAAATCGAGACAAATGATTCTCCCCTGCCCGCCCGCCCGTCCGGCGGTGACTCGCGGTGTCCCGCGGTGTCCCGTGGTGTCCCGTGGTGTCCCGTGCTGTCCCGTGGGCGCGCGAGAGGAATGAACCCGCCGTGGTTAGGGGGAAGACAAGACAAATGATTCTCCCCCGCCCGCCCGCCCGTCCGGCGGTGGCTCGCGGTGTCCCGCGGTGTCCCGTGGTGTTCCGTGGTGTCCCGTGGGCGCGCGAGAGGAATGAACCCGCCGTTGCTAGGGCGAAGACAAGACAAATGATTCTCCCACGCCCGCCCGCCCGTCCGGCGGTGGCTCGCGGTGGCTCGCGGTGTCCCGCGGTGTCCCGTGGTGTCCCGTGGGCGCGCGAGAGGAATGAACCCGCCGTTGCTAGGGCGAAGTCGAGACAAATGATTCTCCCCTGCCCGCCCGCCCGTCCGGCGGTGGCTCGCGGTGGCTCGCGGTGTCCCGCGGTGTCCCCGTGGTGTCCCGTGGGCGCGCGAGAGGAATGAACCCGCCGTTGCTAGGGGGAAGTCAAGACAAATGATTCTCCCACGCCCGCCCGCCCGTCCGGCGGTGGCTCGCGGTGTCCCGCGGTGTCCCGTGGTGTCCCGTGGTGTCCCGTGGGCGCGCGAGAGGAATGAACCCGCCGTTGCTAGGGCGAAGTCGAAGCAAATGATTATCCCCTGCCCGCCCGCCCGTCCGGCGGTGACTCGCGGTGTCCCGCGGTGTCCCGTGGTGTCCTTTGGTGTCCCGTGGTGTCCCGTGGGCGCGCGAGAGGAATGAACCCGCCGTTGCTAGGGCGAAAACAAGACAAATGATTCTCCCCCGCCCGCCCGCCCGTCCGGCGGTGACTCGCGGTGTCCCGCGGTGTCCCGCGGTGTCCCGTGGTGTCCCGTGGGCGCGCGAGAGGAATGAACCCGCCGTTGCTAGGGCGAAGACAAGACAAATGATTCTCCCACGCCCGCCCGCCCGTCCGGCGGTGGCTCGCGGTGGCTCGCGGTGTCCCGCGGTGTCCCGCGGTGTCCCGTGGTGTCCCGCGGTGTCCCGCGGTGTCCCGTGGTGTCCCGTGGGCGCGCGAGAGGAATGAACCCGCCGTGGCTAGGGCGAAGTCGAGACAAATGATTCTCCCACGCCCGCCCGCCCGTCCGGCGGTGACTCGCGGTGTCCCGCGGTGTCCCGTGGTGTCCCGTGGTGTCCCGTGGTGTCCCGTGGGCGCGCGAGAGGAATGAACCCGCCGTGGCTAGGGGGAAGTCAAGACAAATGATTCTCCCCCGCCCGCCCGCCCGTCCGGCGGTGGCTCGCGGTGTCCCGCGGTGTCCCGTGGTGTCCCGTGGTGTCCCGTGGGCGCGCGAGAGGAATGAACCCGCCGTTGCTAGGGCGAAGTCGAAACAAATGATTATCCCCTGCCCGCCCGCCCGTCCGGCGGTGGCTCGCGGTGTCCCGTGGTGTCCCGTGGTGTCCCGTGGGCGCGCGAGAGGAATGAACCCGCCGTTGCTAGTGCGAAGTCAAGACACATGATTCTCCCCCGCCCGCCCGCCCGGCGGTGGCTCGGGGTGTCCCGCGGTGTCCCGTGGTGTCCGCCGTTGCTAGGGCGAAGTCAACGCAAATGATTCTCCCCCGCCGGCCCGTTCTTCCGTCCGTCCGGCGGTGGCTCGCGGTCCCGCGGTGTTCCGCGGTGTCCCGTGGTAACCCGTGGTGTCCCGTGGTGTCCCGTTGAATGAAATCGATAGTGAGATCGATAGTGTGATTGAGAGTAAGATCGATATTGAGATAGCAAGTGCGAGCGATACTGAGATCGATGTGGTACCCGGCGGTGTCCCGTGGTGTCCCAAAAAGTGAGACCGATAGTGAGATCGATAGTGAGATCGACAGGTGTCCCGTGGTGTCCCGTTGAGTGAGATCGATGTGGTGTCCCGAGGTGTCCCGTGGTACCAAAAAGTGATATCGATAATGATATCGATAATGACATCGACAGGTGTCCCGTGGTGTCCCGTTGAGTGACATCGATAGTGAGATCGATAGTGAGATCGATGTGGTGTCCCGAGGTGTCCCGTGGAATCCCGAAAAGTGAGATCGATAGTGGGATCGATAGTAGGTCCTATAGTGAGATCGAGGTGATGCGCGGTGTCCCGTGGTCCCAAAAAGAGAGATCGATAGTGAGATCGACAAGTGTCCCGTGGTGTCCCGTCGTGTTCCGTTGAGTGTGATCGATAGTGAGATCGATTGAATCAGAAGTTGGTTCCCCCCCACTCCGCCCCCCCACAACCTCCTTATCACCCGAAGGGTGGTCGTTTGGGGGAAAGGGGGGTGAGATCGCAGTGGAACGGAGACCCCCAACCGGGAAATCGTCTCGTTTCGTTCATGTCGCGCGTGCGGGCGAGGCGAAACTGCATGGGCGCTCGAAGGAATGAAGCCGCCGTTGCTAGGGCGAAGTCAAGACAAATGATTCTCCTCCGCCCGCCCGCCCGTCCGGCGGTGGCTCGCGGTGTCCCGCGGTGTCCCGCGGTGTCACGTGGTGTCCCGTGGGCGCGCGAGAGGAATGAACCCGCCGTTGCTAGTGCGAAGTCGAGACAAATGATTCTCCCCCGCCCGCCCGTCCAGCGGTGGCTCGCGGTGTCCCGCGGTGTCCCGTGGTGTCCCGTGGTGTCCGCCGTTGCTAGGGCGAAGTCAACGCAAATGATTCTCCCCCGCCCGCCCGTTCTTCCGTCCGTCCGGCGGTGGCTCGCGGTGTCCCGCGGTGTCCCGCGGTGTCCCGTGGTGTCCCGTGGTGTCCCGTTGAGTGATATCGATAGTGAGATCGATAGTGTGCTTGATAGTGAGATCGATAGTGAGAGCGATACTGAGATCGATGTGGTGCCTGGCGGTGTCCCGTGGTGTCCCAAAAAGTGAAACCGATAGTGAGATCGATAGTGAGATCGACAGGTGTCCCGTGGTGTCCCGTGGTGTCCATTGGAGCGAGATCGATATTGAGATCGATACTGAGATCGATGTGGTGCCCCGAGGTGTCCTGTGGTGTCTATGATGTCTCGTTGAGTGAGATCGATAATGAGATTGATCGTAGGTCCGATAGTGAGATCGACAGGTGTCCCGTGGTGTCCCGTGGTGGCTCATGGTGTCCCGTGGTGTCCCAAAAAAGAGATCGATAGTGAAGTCGATAATGAGATTGACAAGTATCCCGTGGTGTCCTATGGTTTCCCGCTGAGTGTGATCGATAGTGAGATCGATTGAGTCAGATGTTGGTTCCCCCCCTATCCCCCCCCTCAGCCTCCTTATCACACGAAGGGTGGGGGGGTGAGATCGCAGTGGAACGGAGACCCCCAAACGGGGAATCGTTTCGTTTCGTTCGCGTCGTGCGTGCGGGCGAGGCGAAGCCAGGCGCGCGAGAGGAATGAACCCGCCGTTGCTAGGGCGAGGTCAAGACAAATGATTCTCCTCCGTTCGCCCGCCCGTCCAGCGGTGGCTCGCGGTGTCCCGCGGTGTCACGTGGTGTCCAGTGGTGTCCCGTGGGCGCGCGAGAGGAATGAACCCGCCGTTGCTAGTGCGAAGTCGAGACAAATGATTCTCCCCCGCCCGCCCGTCCAGCGGTGGCTCGCGGTGTCCCGCGGTGTCCCGTTGAGTGAGATCGATAGTGCGATTAATCGTGTGATCGATTGTGAGATCGATAGTGAGATCGGTACTGCGATCGATGTGGTGCCCCGTGGTGTCCCGTGGTGTCCCAAAAAGTGAGATCGATAGTGAGGTCGACAGTGAGATCGACAGATGCCCCGAGGTGTCCCGTGGTGTCACAAGAAGAAAGATTATAGTGAGATCGATCGTGAGATCGACAGGTGTCCCGTGGTGTCCCGTGGAGTGAGATCGATAGTGAGATTGATAGTGAGACCCATAGTGAGATCGTTATGGTGTCCCGAGGTGTCCCGTGGTGTCCAGTGTCCCGTGGTGTCCCGTGGTGTCCCGTTGAGTGAGATCAATAGTGAGATCGATGGTGAGATCGAGGTGTGTCCCGCGGTGTCCCGTGGTGTCCCGTGGTGGCCCGTTGAATGAGATCGATAATGAGATCGATAGTGAGATCGACAAGTGCCGTGGTCTCTCGTGGTGTCCCGTGGTGTCCCGTTGAGTGAGATCGATAGTGAGATCGATTGAGTCAGATGTTGGTTCCCCTTCTCTCTCCCCCACACAACCCTCTTTATCACCTGAAGGGTGGTCGTATAGGTATCTTGTCATATACCCCTGCTTGGTGTTACGAGAAGTCTGCCCTAAAGAACGACCATGACTCGAAACATGTTCTGAAAAAAACCCAGGTCCAGATATACGGAAATTGTACGAAACAAGGGAGCTCAAAGAAAACGCCCAGAATCTGGCCCTGATTATTCATTTGCTTGAGCGGCATCCGGAGTCCATGGACGTTGCTGCTTGTTCTTCAGATGTCTGATGGGTGTACAACATCTTGGAGCACATGCTGCGTTGATCCTTGCAGGTCTGAGGTGCCCCAGAGCTTCTGTGGGTCCCTGGGGCCAGCGGGTGGTAAGACCTTCTCGCGGAGCACCTGGTCAGGCCAACTTCATATTTGGCGTGCCTACTGAACACGTCGTTCATTTCTAATCGTGCTCATTCCTAATAATGCTCGCTTCGAGTTGTTCCTGGCCCCCTAGTTGCCAGCAAGACGCCCAGGATAGAACAATCAGAAATTACAGGATCTTGCCCCCCAAACAAAATCAAATATCTTTCGAAGAATTCGAAATGAACAATGTGTATGCTTTTCCCTCATAGTCCTTCAGGGCCGACGTCCGCTGCAAGCACGAGATGAGCTGCTCCGTGCCCGGGAGCTTCCTGGGCGACACGGGCTGTTACACCCCTCCCGCCACTCTGGGCGAGCCTGGGTCGGCTGCATCGGAGGAAGGGAGAGCAAGAACGGGAGGGAGGATAGGTGGGGGGGAGAGGAGGGGGAAGGAATGAGAGAGGGGAAGGAGGGAAAAACGTGGAGCATGGAACATGGATTGGCCTGGCTCCTGAGACCCAGGACCGCAAGGGCGGTGAAACACAGGAGGCGCGAGCCATGGGGAGCAGACCTTCCGAGCCACTCGATCCGGCGGGCACACGTGCGGCACAGCAGCGTAGCCCAAAAATATCCAAACCATTCAAAACAGAATCAACAAATCGCCCCCGTATTTTGTAACTATTTGGGAATCTGCCTCCTGTAGAGGGGCCGGCCCGACTTAATGGCAGTACCCACCCGCTGAGCACGAACGCGTTCATGACAGAGAGGCCCCGAGCCCTTGTCCGCGCCAGTGTTTCATGAGCAGGAGAGAGGCGTGCCCGACGGACAACGAGATGTGCTTCACAACGAATCTCTTGGCGGCGCGCACAGAGGTGGTGGGGGGAGGGGGGAGGGCTTCTTACAAGGAGGCTGCTTCCTAGAAGGCGCGGCCTCGCATCTACAGATGAGGCCCGCGCCTTTTAAGAAGCAGGGGTGCTTCTAAGAAGCCCTCCGCTATTTCCGCTATTTGACGCGCCGTAAGGGTCACAGCCCTGAAGCGCAGCGCGGCGGCCGTCGGCCGCCGACAGAGGGGGGGCGAGGGAGGCCCGTTTCAATCCTGGACAGCGAAGGCCTGGAGGAAAGGGGAAGGGAAAAAGACGGGCCCGTTGGGCCCAACACCGGTCGGCGAAGGGCCCGAGGGGGCGAGGGCCCGCGGGGCCCTGGCCTTTGGCTCGGCGAGGGCCCACCCGCCTCGGTGGGACCTAGCTGAGCTCGTCCGCGTGGTCGGGGGCGGCGGGGCTCTCAGGTCGCGTCGAGGGCGGCGACCCCGCCCGCCCCTGGCCTCCGTGATGCGCTCCCTCTGGTCCAGCGCGAGGTGCTCCGCGTCGCGCGTGCGTCCGCGGTGTGCACCTGCCGGTCCAGCGCCTGGAGCTCTGCGTTGCCGCAAGTCTGCGGGGCTCCGCTCCTGGCCTCCCAGCTGTGCGCCAGCTGGCCAAGCGCGCGGAGCTCCGCGTTACCGCCGGCCTCCATGATGCGCTCCCTCTGGCCCAGCGCGAGGTGCTCCGCGTCGCCGTGCGTCGCTGGGTGCACCTGCTGGTCCAGCGCCAGGAGCTCTGTGTTGCCGCCGGCCTGCGGGAGCTTCAGCGTTTGGCCTCCTAGCTGTGCGCCAGCTGGCCCAGCGCGCGGAGCTCCGCGTTGCCGTCGGCCTCCATCGCCTGGCCCCCAGCGCGAGGAGCTCCATGGTGCCGTCGGCCTCCGCGATGGCCCCCAGCGCGAGGAGCTCCGCGATGCCGTCGGCTTCCGCGTTTTCTCCTTCTGGCCCAGCGCGAGGCGCTCCGCGTCGCGGTCGGCCTCCTCGATGTGCCAGTGAACGCCTGCCTCGTTGCTAGTGGGCTCTTCGTCTTGTCACAGTCACCTTGGTCAGGAACTGGTTGACTGTGTTGGGCTCTTCTCCTGGTACGGGTCTCAGCCGATGAAGTAGTTGTCGTGCTGGTTAAGGTCGATGGGGGTCGGCTTGTTGCTGGTAGGTGGAATAGATTGCGGGCGCACTCTGGCCTCCATGCACCGACTTCAAGCAGGGTTCATGGCGGCCCTGCCTCGTCCCGCTATGGCTAGGGGTCACGGTGCCCTCGGTGGGGGCGAACCCCAGGCCAGGTGATTCTTCTGCTGTCGATGAGGAAGGTCAACGCTGCCCTATGCTACGCCCTTGGGCGCTCGGGAGCTCCGTCTCCGCCATGGGAATGGTGGGGGTGGCGAGCTAGGGCGGACCGCGGGGGCGCGGGCAGTACTCGTCCTGCCCCCCCCCTGCCCCTCACCATCCCCCCTGGTGGGCGCGGGCAGTCCTCGTCCTGCCCCCCCGCCCTTCGAGCCCGTCTCGAAGTTTGATCCTTGCCTCACCAGGGCAACGTTGACTGGTACTTGGTGCAGTTGGGGTCATCGGGCTGGTACTTCTGAGCCCTGGCTGTACGGCGGCCGTGTCCGTCACTATGCAAAACGTGGCGACGTGAGCCTGGGGTGTTCCCTCGCATTCGGGGCTTCCCCAGGTCTTGCGTCCTGACAACTTGTGCAAAACTTGGCGACGTAGCCTGAGGTGTTCCCACGCATTCGGGGCTTCCTCAGGACTTGCGTTCTGATTATTTTGTACATGTCGTCAAGGCGTTTCGTCACGATCCTCGTTGTCAGCCTGTGCCCGAACAGCTCCTGTCGAGGTGGTGGCCCTGCCGATTGCCTTGTCGGGTCGGTCCTGCCGGGCCCACTCCCTTGCCTCTTCCAGCCAGGTCGGTGAGCCGTTCCGCCTGCTGCCTCGATAGTAGTCCTGACCCATCTCCCTGGTCTTGTAGTGGTCGAGCGGCTGGAAGAAGTGGGCCACGTCGTCGTCGATGTGCCACACCTGGACGTCGTTGGGCGACTCGCCAAAGCGCCACCTGATCTGCTTCACCAGTGCGGTCGCGATGGCCTGGCACATCCTGTTCGGGTACTCCTTGGCCGGCGCGGTGCGCCACTGGCCTTCGTCGTTGATGCCTGCCAGCTCCGCATGGTAGGAGGCCGTGTGAAAGCACCTTCCACTTCCAGGCAGTCTCCTGATTTCTGCTCGGAGGGTTGGTAGGGATACCGCCATCAGGCTTGTGGATTTCCTCGAGCGCGCTCCACAGGTGCACTGGTCGAAGGTGATCAGCTCGACTCCCTGCTGGTTCAGAAGATGGCGCATCTCGGGAAGCTTCCAGGAGCTGGCGAAGTGCTCCTCGATGGGCTCAGACGGGTGCTCGAGCATGCCTGGGACTCCCAAATTGAGGCACATGTACATAAGTTCCAGCTGTGTCCTGTATAGGCGGTTGCCTGTCGCTACTTGCTCCATCTCTGGGCGGGAAAGGTAGCGAAAGCCCCACAGGCTATTGCCGCCCCTTAGGGGTCTTGGTGGCCGACCCCTGCAGCCATTGGGGGGCAAGTGGCGCGCTCGGCTCCAGGTCTCGCACGGCGGTCCGCCGATGACTCCTGCAATTCTTCCTGCTTGTGCCATGTCTCGCCACTTGCTGACTGCGACCTCAGATGTCAGGTCGCCGAAGGTCGGGTCGTTGGCGATGTCCAGGCTGAGCATGTGTATGTCGCAAGCAGCCCGACTGCTGAGGCGGTCAAACCAGTCCTGAACATCTCCGTCTCGGCGACGGCCGCTGAATAGATGCAGCACATATAACGTCCGAGCTGGTCTGGGCCTCGGTACAGCGGCTGGCGGCGGTGGCTGCGCCTCGATGAAGGGCAGCTCAAGGCTCTCGTAGTGGCCGCCGTTGCTGTCGTCGCTGTCCTCGTCCGTATGTATTTCTGGAGGGCGAGCAGGGACTGCAGGCTTCTCTGCCCAGTCGATAGGCCTGCCCGCCCTTCTGTTCGCCTGCTGCTGGTCGCGGACAATTTGCTGGTTGTGTTGCAGCTCGGCTCTACTTAGGATTGCTGGGCGCGTCTTTCTCCAATGTCGAGCGCACTTGCGCACTCTCAGCAAGTGTTTGACCAGCCTGTTTGTAGTATGATAATCCATGCCGCATCCGTAGCAGACCGAACCAGTTGCCCACGAAATAGGATGACCCGACGAGGTGTGGTCCTTGGTGATGTGTGCTCGTAGCACTGCTGCGCTGGCTTCAGTACGTCCACAGTGGTAGCATAAGTACTTGCGCTGATGCTCGAAATGCTGGTCTGGGAAGGACGAGATGGCTTCCGTGTTGGTCCACCGTTGGAGTCGAAGCCTCCATCGAGCTTGGTGGTCGTGGTCGTACTGGCGAGCTTTGCCACGTTGGCAAGCTTTCTTTACTGCGCTGAGGTAGCTTTGGTAGTCGTTCCTGGCCCAGTCCTTCCAGTCCTCGAGCGTGTATGCTCCACCACGCTCGTCAGGTCCTGTGTGGTCGCGGACCCAATCCAGGTCTCGGCGGAGCAGTGCCACCCAGCCGTAGCTACCGTCCCATGCTTGGCTAAGTAGCCGGCGGAGGTGCAGGGGTCCCCAGTTGAGGCATCTGCCAAATAGCCGTAACCTCTCAAGTCGCAGGACTATCTCTGGGGGCAGCTTGTCGACTCCTTCGAGGATCTGGGTGTTCGTTACTTCCTTTTTCTGTCGTACTGTCCAAGTGATCCTCTGCGCAGCAGCGTAGTTGACGATGTACTGGTTGTTGAAATTCCTGGCCTGGCCTGCGGTGAGTTCGGGCCAGGTAGATGCATTGTATAATAGCTGGGATAGCACCACGCTGTCGGCTAAATAGGCCTTGTCTTTGATTGCCAGCTCTGATCGCCTGTGGACTTCGCGATGGAGAGGCCTCGTGGATGTCGCTGCAGTGGCTACCTTCACTGCGACATCCACCCCAGGGGATGCATTGTCGGTCGCGTAGGTCCCGAGGAGCTTGTGGTGACGAACCACCTCGACGTAACTCCCTGCAAGGGGGACCTCGATCCTCGGCACTCCCTCGGAGTAGAAACTGGCCCGCGCTTGCCGGCTCCCAGGCCCACTGAAGTCAATCATCACCTTGGTCTTGGTGAGTTGCAGCTGGAGGCCGAAGGTGCTGGCGGCGCAGTAGACGGCTTCGCAGAACTCGGTGGCCTCATGCTGAATGTGGTCGGGGCTGGTGAACACGTGCATGCCCGTTAGGTCATCGACAAACGATAGGCCATGTGGTTCTTGCTCCTGGAGTGGCCCATCTGTGGGGTCGTTGTCGCATGCGAAGCTGCTGTCAAGAGGCTTGCCCTGAGGTCGTAGCCCTCGCTGCGCAAGGTAGTTGTCAATCATGCGGTGGACTCGGCCGAATAGCAGATTGAAGTCCGCGTCGGCCAGGGGCACGCCAGGCCTCGTGCCCTTGTGCGGTGCCATAAGGTTCTGGGA